GGGGGGGGGGGGAGCTTGGGATTCTACTTGGAAGAGGATGTGTGCTTTTGACTGGAACTCCTTTCTTTCTTCCCAATCTCTATACCTTTTATTTCCTTTTCTTGTCTTATTGCATTAGCTATAACTTCAGTACAATGTTGAAAAGCAGTGGTGAGAGGGAACATCTTTGCCTTATTCTTAATTTTACTAGGAAAGCTTCAATTTTCTCATCATTAAGCATGATGTTAGCTGTAGGTTTTTTGGTAGATATTCCTTGAGGAAGTGCCCCTCTATTCCTAGTTTGCTACTATTTTTCATAGGCTCAATTACCAGGTGTATATCTAATGGGAGAAGCAGAAAAATAATAGTAAGAGAATACTTCTTGTAAGGATTATTAGTGACCTTCATGTTGCTAAATTCAGTGCTCTTTTCTCAGATTTCATTTAACCTGATTTATCAGCAATATTTGACATAGCTGATCATTCCCTTTTCCTGATTTTCTTGCCATATTACTGGCTGCTTTTCAGTCTTTGCCAGTTCCTTCTTATATCTCCAACCTCTAGACATTGCAGCACTCTTGGACTCAGCCTTTGTACCTTTTCTCATCTTTACCTATACTCATTTCCTTGGTGAGACCACACAGCTTCATGACTTTAAATACTATTTATCCACTGATGACTGCCAAAGGCTTATCTTTATCCTGGACTTCCCCTCTGCACTCCACACATATTCTTTGATCAGTGTCTCTATTTGGATATCAAATAAGCATCTTAATCTTAATATGTCCAAAGTTCTTCTCCCAAATATTCATACGATGTATGTTCCACTTGCCGGGCTCATGACCCCTGCAGTAGCTCAGGCCAAAACTCTGAGAGCCATCCTTTATTCTACTGTTTTCTCCACATTCCACATTTAATCCATTGCCAAATCTTACCTTCATAATGTATCTGGACTCCTACTACTTCTCACCACCCCAACTGTCACCATGTGGGCCCAGGCTCATCACTTCTCACAATAGATAGGTCTATTGACATATCCTCCAGCCCATCTCCCTGCGTCTTCCTTTTGCCCCATTCAGTATTTTCTTAACACCACAGTCAGTCATCCATTAAAACATGTTAGATCATCTTATTTCTATGTTCAAGCCTCTCTAATGGTTTCCTATCCTACTCAGAGTAAATGCCATACACAATCTGCCCTCTCCTTTCATTGACCTCCTCAGCCTCAGCCACCCTGGCCTTCTGTTGTCCATCAAACAGGCAGGAAAACTCCTGCCTCACACACGTCCCCACTTGTTCTTTTCTCTGCTGGGAACTTATTTTCCTCAAATAGTTACATGGCCAGGTCCCTTAACTCTTCCAGGTCTTTAATCATAGGTCATCCCTTATTTAAATTGCCCTCCCCCATGTACTACCTGTCTCCCCTCCCTGTCCCCTTCTCTCCTTAGCAGTCCTCACTACTGAGGTCCTCTCCTGCATGGATTTGCTGGCTCATAGACTGTCATCCCTTGCTGGAGCAGGCACTGTTGCATGTTTTGCTCTTCTTCTCTTCAGTGCTTAGTAGAGTGGGGCACATGGTTAAATGAGTGGATATACCACAAGGACTAAAAGCAGGCAGGAAAATGGGAGGCAGGAGCAGGGGAGACAGAAGATATATTTAGGCATTTAATGATGCAGGGGAACCAACCCAATTTGCCCTCCAGTTCTGGTCTCTTGGAGCTTAAATCTGGCCCTTGGAGGAAAGGATATCTCCCTCCTCTTAGGCCAACCAAGGGGATCCAGGAAACTGGGGAGGGAACCAGGGGACCCCTCTGGAGGTGAAAGGGAGAAGGGGACTAGAGGGATGGCATAGAGAACACCAGCTAGTGTGCCAGGCCCAAGATAGAAGACTTGACCCAGCCCTAGGAGTAAGATGGACCTAGGTTCAATCCCAGTGTTGCCACCTACCAGCAGTGTGACCTTGGACAGTGTGCACTGAGGGCAGGGTGGTAGCAGGGTTCTGCTCTGGGGAGTAGGCAATAAGAGGTGCTTGTCTGTAGAGAATTTAAAAGCAGTAATATAACCAACTAAAAGTTGCTTAGCTTGTTATTGTCACTGTGCTCTGCTAGTCAGCAAACACTCTTCCTCCATAGTATATGAGTGACCTGGGGAGATTGTTTAAGTTCACTAAGCCTCAGTTTCCTTATCTGTAAAATGGAATGATCCCTACTTCTCAGTACTGTGAGAATTAAATGTGAAGGCATCTGGGTGTACACTGTGTGGTTATTGTCACCCATATTTCCCCTGCTGTCTTTCCTCCCTCCTTCCCTCTTTTTCTTCTGCCCCTTCACCTCTTTCTTGCACAATACTCCCTTCCTTATAAGCAGTCATCCCTGTTCCAGTCCAGCACCCCACCCCCTTCCCGCTCCAGCAGGCATTCATTACCCCACCAGCCATCCTGGGGCTGTCCCGCGTCTGGGCTCAGCTTCCTTCAACCCTGACCAGGCTGGGTGGGGTGGGGGTAATTGGGACCTGTCAAGCATAACCCCTGTTCTGGGACGAGCTGACAGCATCAGCAGTTTGTAGATCTGAGGCATTATTTCACCAGATGATGCATAACACAACCCTCAGTCATTTTTAAGGGGTGGCAGGTGGGGAGAGGCTGAGGAGTCACCCTGCAAACTCCAGGCTGAAGGTTTTGCTGCTCCCACAGTTTCTTCTTAACTGCTCTAAGTCGGCCTGAATGTAATCCTGAGATCTGCTCGCCGGGCCCAGCCACAGCGCCTCACTGTAGTGTGATTGCTGGCTC